AATATAGTTGGCTGGTATTATTGCTTAACTCCGGGCCTATTCCGACCCTGAATTTTGGTTACTCTCAATGCCTGGATGTACAGAGAGACCTTTCTAAATGTACACCATAGGGACCGAACTTCTAAAAAAATGCATTTAGAGAACAATAAGAAAATGTGCATTTATAGGAGTCAAGTATATAATTGAGACGGAAGTTGAAAGTGCATTTAGAGAGGTCTCTCTGTATATAGTAAAATCTATCCTATTTATAACTTAACAATAGTCCGTCAGCGTAAGTGACGGGTTACATACTATTTGGATTTGATAATTTTTTTGCAAAAGTCACTTTTATCTTAAAATATATATGATCTACCAATACCTATGGTTATATAAATTCAATTACAACACTTGCACAAATTAATAGAAACAATGGCCAACAAGTTTTTTGAAAACCTTTCAAATAATTATATAGAACTTCTTGAAAATGGAGAAGATTATAACGTCATTATTGAAGTTAGTGAATCTTCAAATACTAAAGAATTCAGAACACATTCTGCTATCTTGAAATATAGATCACTATATTTCCGCAACGAATTGGCGAACAAGGAATTGAATAATATTATAAAAATCAATTTAAAGCCAAATATTTCAATTCAACATTTTGAAATTATTATTAGGTGAACTATAATTTTATAAATCTATATTATTTATTATATATGTGGATTATATATCTTATATTCTAATTTAATAAAATAAATTCAATATTAAGGTATATTTATGGTGGTGTATTCTCTTTAGAAAACATTGATAATTCATCAATTTTTGATATTATGTTAGTTGCTTGTGAACTTCTTCTTGAAGAATTAGTAAAGCATCTTGAGATTCATTTAATTGAAGTAAAAGCTCATTGGTTACGTTCACATTTTGCTTATGTTTACAAAGCAAGTTTCGAAAATGATAAACTCCAAGAATTACAAAAGTGGTGTAATGACATCGTAGTAAAATATCCGAATGTTATCTTTGATTCTGAAGATTTTACTTCACTTCAAGAAAATGCTCTTATTTCACTTATCGAACGTGACGATTTACAAATAAAAGAAATAGAAGTTTGGAATTACGTTATTAAATGGGGTATTACAAAAAATTCGGGATTGCCTTCAAATCCTGAAGATTGGACTCATGAAAATTTTCAGAGCGTAAAGACTACTTTACAAAATTGTTTACCTCATATTCGTTACTTTCAAATTCCTGGAGAAGATATTGTTGATAATATACGTCCATATAAAAAACTTCTTGAGAAAAGTCTTTGGAAAGATCTATCTAATAAATTAATGGCTCCAAATAAACCAATTTCATCAACGGTTCTACCACCTCGTATTATTTTAAAACCAACATTACCAACAAGAATAACAGAACCGTTTTCGACCATTATTATTGAAGAGCATAAGGCCGAAATTGCCACGTGGATTGATAAGAAAACTGAAGTGTATGTAAACACTCCATATGAATTTAAATTACTCCTCCGTGGAAGCAGAGATGGTTTTAGTTCAGATATTTTTTGGAAATTATGTGATAAGCAACAAAATACTGTCGCGGTTATGAAAGTTGAAGGCACTGATGAAATTCTTGGTGGTTATAATCCTCTCGCTTGGGATCAATCAAAATGTGGTATTGTAAGATGTGAGGAAAGTTTTATTTTTTCATTGAAAAATGGTACCATTAAATCTTCTATTCTAAGTCATGTACAAAAGCCAGCCTTTGCTTTTAATAATTTCAAAATTAATTGTGTAAACTTTTATGATCTTGTCATTAATAATTTAAATGAAGAACAAGCATGTTTTTATCATAAGGGTTCATATGAAAAGAACATTAGAGGTTCACCAGATAGCGGGTTTTATATAAACGAATATGAAATATTTCAAATTCATAAAATAAACTTATAATTACTCTTGATTAAGTTTGTGATTTCGGAATAATAAATTCAATAAAATTGATATATATAATTTAAGATCCGATGACTAATGTAATACAGTTAAACCTCCATAAGTGCATGCCCTCTCTAAATGCACGCTCGAATTCGGCCCAAAAAATATACGTGACTTCCATAAATGCATATTTTCTTATTGCTTTTTAAGTGCATATCGTTAAAATTCGGTCCCAAGAGCGTGCACTTATGGAAGTTTTACTGTATTACAAAAACTTAAGCACGAATATATCTCTGGTTGAATATAGAAATATGATACTTTCACACATCTTCGCTGACAAATACAGTAATTGAAAAAGCTTTAAAAGGCTAATTAGTTCGAAAAATTACCAAAACTTAGGTGTTAGTAGGCCTCCTATAGGTCAAAGCACTTTCAAAGTTACGAATATATTGAAACTTTCATCACTTTTGGGAAGCTACGAATGAGATAAAAAATCTTATAAAAAAATATACAGTCAACCCTGTTTAAGTGAATGCCTAACCAAGTTGATTACTGTTAAACTGAATAATGCATAAAAATTTTTCCGTCCACCGGCTGATTGACTGAATAATAGTAAAATTTCATAAAGATCTTGCTATCTGAATATTTTAAACTTATCCGCATAATTGTTACATGAAATTTTATAATTTGTTGGCCAAATTATACGTAAAATAAAATTTTTATTAATAGTTATATAATTTGATTTTTGTAAATGAATTTCTAAATGAATACAAAATTAGTCCACTGACCATATTCATTTAGACAGATTTTGACCGGTATTTGTATGTGTAACAATTAGTTTTATGACAATTTGAATACGTAGCCGTAAATCAACCTGGAAATATAAAAAAGTAATATTTTTTATATCTCATGCTCATGGATAGTCCAGCCCTAAGTGCGTCTCCGTACGCCATCCAAGCCTCCAAGAATTCAATATAGCGGTTTATCTTGATTCTTCAGAAATATCACTTTTTGCTCGTAATAAGAGTAATAATATAGACCGTAAAAGGTAGTAAATCTTTATTTATAAAAGAGAAATTATCTAGAATCTAAAGAAACTACAGAAGCAAATTCAAAGTGCTTATATACATGGATAAGGTTCCACAGCCAAGACGAAACGCGTAGAATGAATTCTCTTTTAAAACCGATCAGGGACTATACATAGTTATTTTCCTTTTCTATACTTTCTATATAGCTATGATCCATTTTATTTTAATAATAGTTTCATGATACAAGACATCTATTCACCACAATACAGTAATAACAACGCACGATTCCTTAACTCACTGCTCGATTAAGGAGATTTTCCGGTAATACGATGCAAATAAGAATTATAGCTATAACGATAATTATACGGGAAGTTAATTATAATAAAAATATCGTGCTTGAAGTTAGCATCTGATTGAAGTTGAAACTACCTAAAATTACTAACGCGTGCAAGTAAGTTAATTTTGGTTAGTGGGCCTAAATTGGTAACTTCAATCAGTTGTCAGCTTCAAGCACAACAATAATACACTATATAGGTGTTAAAATGACGGGACATTGTGATAGAATTTTTTTTATAAAAACTACTACAAAAAAGCTCATTCCTTATTTTTAAATATACATTACTGTATTATACAAATTTTTATTAAAAAAATTTTTTTAAAAAAAGAATAATAATACCAGTTAACAAAAAAAAATCATCAACTGATTATTTCTAAAAAAAAGCTTAGGCTATTTGACCAGTTAACCTTTTGCTAGTATAATTTGTCTGATCAAATTCTCTGGTTTGTATATATCAAATATATAAAAAAACCATCTAGTTTTTGCCAAATTCTAGTGGTATTAAATGATTTAGTTATTATCCATTTTTTATTATACGTATATATTCATTATTTCCAATTTATCATCGAAATTAGCCAGCTAGTCATTTACATTGCTATAAATGACTAGCCGATTCATAGTCAACTTATATTCTAAAATAAGCTTTAGAAGAGAATTGATTCCAGGCCAACAAAGGTGCAGGCCAAGGCCGCCCCGCATAATTGACTCGCCGTTAAGCTAGAGCCAGGTCGTATTATTATAAGAGTTATTAGAGCAAGTACAGATCATTAAATATAACAAAATAGTCAGTGATACACAGTAACCAGTTGTAATTAATATTTGGGTTTAATTATTTCATTTGCAAATATTGCATCCTTTTATTATTTAAAAATTTTGACTATGAAACTGCCTTTGGAGTTCTAATAAAAAATTTTTTCCGTAACATTTTAGCACAAACTATATTATTGCCTTATCTCAGGTCTTAATTCTAACCCTAATATTATCAAAATAATTATTTTTTGGTTTGATCAAAATTTTTTTGATTTTTGTTACACAAAATTGATGTTATAATAGGCAGTGTACATAATTTTTGTAAAGTTACATATTAAATTTTAACTTGTGCACATATTTTGTAAGTTAGATTTTATACACTGATAATAGGAGTCAATATCTTGCACCATGCAATAAATTATAAATTCCTTAATATTTAAAAAACAAAGAAAAAGTAGCTGTATTATTAAATAACAAAAATTGTTATTTAAGCCAAATTAATATTTGGAAACTTTTAAACAACACGATCCTATATTCTTTTATAAAATTGATGGAAAGAAAAACCCAGTGAATTTGTTTACTAACTTTCACCTTATCAGGTTCGGTCCATGAAGAATCTGAGGCCATGATTAATTCTAGAGCACATTGATTATTTCTTTTAAAGAGCTGCTAAATCATATAATTTTCCATAAAAACAAAAAAAAATCGTTTGATGACCATAGCACATCTTATCGAAGCGAATTGAACTGTTAACCTTAAGCGTATATGATCACATTTAATCATAATTTTCTTTATCAGTTAGAGCAAAATTTATTTTTATTTGAACTGAAACCAATCCACTATAAATTGGACAAATTTTTTACTATATATAATCTTGCTTAAAATAACAATTGACAAGAATCAATAGACTTCTCGGATGGAATAAAATTGTCAATGAGAGTATACAGAACTGAAAAAATATTTTACAAAGTGCTACAAGAGTTAAGGCTTATATAGAAGAAGGTTCCTATTCTCTTTATCTGTTTCGACAAACTTGTCAATTTCTAATTTGTCAATGCGTAATTGAACGTCTTTTTCCTTTTATCAAAAGCAATAAGAATAATAATTAATAACAAACTTTCAATCTTTACCATTTTATATCGATATTTTAAGCAACATAACATATATACTGATTTCTTTACCTTTGCCCATTCAAATCTGGGAATTTGTAATATTCTTTGAATTAAAAATGCCTTAATAATTTGTTTTTCTGGCTTAATAATTCTCATAATAGCTGAATCTAGTTGAATTGCTCTATCTTCAGCTAACCGCTGCGATATCTTAACATCCAATGCATCTTGTACCTGAATAATTAAAGAATATATAAATTTGTTATTGACAAAGTATTACTTTATAAATGTTGCATCCAAATACAGAGAGACCTCTCTAAATGCACACTCAACTTCCCGCCCAATTATATACTTGACTCCTATAAATGCACATTTTCTTATTGTTCTCTAAATGCATGTTTTTAGAAGTTCGGTCCCTATGGTGTGCATTTAGAAAGTCTCTCTGTATTAATTTGTCAATTGGGATGGCCTAAGCATCAATTTATCAACTTTATCTAATCCCTGCCTAAATTTATTTTCTTCGATTGATAGTTTAGGCCAGATTGATATTTGGAACAAAATTAGCATTTAGCATAGCATAAATGTAATATTATAATAATTCGCACCCTTTTAGCCATTTCAAGATCTTCTAGCGTAATTATATTATCGTCAATATCAATCATGGTATCCAACGATTCATTAATACAAAATTTATTAGTGTTCTCTATATCATCATTCGGCGGATCTTTTACTAATAATGAGATCTTCCCGAATATAAGTGATTGTAAAGCGCGATTCAGTTCATTAGTTTCTAAAATTAAATATTAGATACAATTAGGTGATAAGCAAAACATTAGATCTAGTTAATAACATCCTTAATAATATGACAAACCCAATCCGGTCTGCCTCCTGATTTCTTCGTAAGAAAGGTAACTTCCAGGTTTCAAATCATTGAATAATAACAATACTAAGGTTGAACATAAGCTCAAATCTATAAAGACATTTTTCTACACAATAAAAGTAATCTATTTAATAATTAAGAATCATCTATTAATAGGTTTGTACAAAATGAACAAATTATCCTACCGGCTTAAAAGTCATTTCGACAGTGCATCTGTCTAATTCATATTGCCATTTTAATTTTTTATTCTTATTTTCTGGGTCAGTTTTATATACACGTTCAAAAGCTGATTTTGCTTGTTCTAGCTGAAACAAATATGATTAAAAATGAACACTCATATATATTTATAAATAATAATATACATAAGCTATTTCGATTAAGTTTAGGCCTACATTAGGTGCCAATTTCACGTCTAATGTTGGGCTGGTTAAGTATTTTGGCCAACTATCTTGCGTTAAAATGGTAACGTACAATAACGGTGCATTCTAAATACTTGAGACATAAATTAGTACAACATTTTGTAAAATATTGAAATATAGAATTTAAAACTCACACTTGTATAATTGTTATAGGTTTCACTAATCTGCTTTGAAGTTGTTATATCATTCAACATTACATCTAAATTGTTAGAAAACTCTGGTTCCATCGCATTTAATAATCTATTAGCCACACGCCTTTCTAATTCAAAGTCTGAAGTTCTCTCAAAGCAAATTCGAGTAACAAGATCTGTCATATATAAAGTTCTAAAAATTTCTTTATCTATAAATAATTAAAAATGTTTTCAATATATTGTTTATCATGTTTAATAGATTTATTATGATTTAAATTGTTACCATCCATGTAAGATAACAATCGGAGGACGATTTCTAAAAGCTCCTCTAAATTTCTCATACTGTCATTTGCGGCAGGTCTCATGAACTCATGTATCAGTTTGGCTGCAATATAATATTATAACAAATTAGAATATAAGTTAAAAATAATTAAATTGTCTTGCTATCTGAGGCTTACCAACAATTTCATTGATTTTTTTGTTTTTACTTATATATTTTGTAACTCGTTGATGCCACACTTCTTTGATCGTGATGCATATATCGCCAATATCATCTTCGAATATCATTTCAATTTCATTTTTAACTTTATTTAACTGATTTGACAATTCAAGGGGCATGCTTTCAAATTGTCCATAAATAAGTTCCATTTGTTGCTTGTATTAGAATAGCAAAGATTATTAATAGTTCTCGAGTTAGCACTAAGTCAAAACTAGTGTTTGAACTCAGATGCAAAATTATCATCCAGGTGAAACAGATAGTGCATAATCCCGGTAAAGAAATTATATTAAATAATTCTGATGTATTTTTATAATTAAAGAGTGATTTGATTGTGCATAATCTGACTGGTTCAAAACCACCTTATTTATCTATGCAATTCTGTGGAAATTCCATCTGGGTCCAAACACTAGTTAAAGCCAATAAAGACAGATTTTCTACCTCAATAATAGGGTCTATAAATAATTGTAATAATTCAATACCGTCAATTTTAACCAGATAAAGGTATAACAAAGTTAATGCTTTGCCACGCTTTTCGCATGGATTACGTATAATGTCGAAGAACGTTGATTCAACTGTAAAAAATTGTATATATTAAATACCAATTAAATGTAACAAGTCGTGTCAAAAAAACAGCTTACTCTTTTCCCAAATTAATTTGGCGTGACGTTTGATTAATTTTGATTCCACATGCTTCATTAAAGAATCCTTGGTTCTTGGATGTAAGTATGCAGAAATATGATCCCTCTCATATTTAACACGTTCTTTAACGTATTGCAAATATTCATACACATTCAGTTTATGTATATAAACATCACTTTTCAATTCATAATATTTAGATGTTGTATATTCAAGAGACTTTTCTATTGGATCATAAAGCGCTAACTTGATATATATTTGGAGTATTTCACGCAGTACTGCTCCATTTCTTACTTCACCATCCCTAGATAAAATAAAATTGGTTATATAAACGTTAAAGAAATCTATAAATTTCTAATCACTTACCGCTGTTTTTCAATCGACTCTAATATCCCTAAAAGATTCTTCTTATTGATTTCGCGACTACATAACACTTGCTTCCGAAACTCACATAATCCCAACCTCCTAATTAAGGGAAATGATCTAAAAAAAAATCCGTAGATAATAAAAAATGTAAAACTTAATTGTTAACTAGTACTTACCAGATTGACTCTTTACCCATCATTTGGAAAGCAGAATCCAAGTATTGAAAATTACTTTTAATCAATTCCTTAAAGTAATTATTTGTAAATCAATAAATGAAACGAGAGATAAACATGTAAAAAATATAAATCTTGTACCATTTTATCAGCAAAACTCAACCAAGCTGAAACAAATATTTCAAGAAAGGCATCGCTTTGCTCCGATTTGCTATATAACGTATTATTTATATTAGATACAAAATAATGATGGCTTTATCCTATAGTCGTATATTACCTCATTAAAGTCTTTCTTATGTTGAACGAATATTGGTTGTAAAGGTTTTTTAAACGCGAATATACTTCCACTTGTTGTGTTTTTTCGAAACTTTGAAATGCAATTTGGAGTGAGGAAAGTGAAGCTTGAATAGGAAATCCGCAAAAAACGTTTCTGAACTCTTTTTCAAAGCTCATAATTGCTACTGATGTGTTTGTCATGTTTAATTAGAATACTTTAAATACTTTTCGCGTTGGTATTGTCTCAGGTTCGACCTATAGCCACTCATTGTAATTGGTTAATTTAAACATGTTACACAAACTATCTGTATCAATATATAAATTAGCCAATCAAAAGAACGCCAGATGTAATTACGCCATGTTGGCGCGTGATTAGGAATAAAAAAAATAAAACATATTTTAGACTTGCAATCTTTTATAACTTACCGAATGTCACTATGCTGGTCCCTAAAAAATAGTAGCACTTTTTACTTGTTACTATGATTAAACAAGAACGTGTATATGTAGTAATTTTTGAAACACCAGGATGGGAAAATCAATACTTGAGATGTGCCTTTAGCACGATAAACCTAGCATATACGTATTTTCGTATATCATGTGACTCGCGCGAAATGTGAGATGACCTTATCGTTATACAGAACGAATTTGGAGTTTAGCAGATTGTGTAAATTTTTATTTGATAAATCACTGGTGCTAAAATTTTTATTAGAAATTTATTTCGCGCGATGATGATATCTAGCACCTCACGCGTGGGGTAGCGTTAGTTACAAATATATATTATTAGAAAATCGTCGCACTGTGTGATGTGACTTTTTAAGTGCCCATCTCTAATCATAATCTGTATATTAGAAAAGGACTGTGTATAGGGACTTTTGATACATCCAGTATGTAGGAATTTAAATGTTTTAAGATTTTAGGATTATGGGATCTATTCAATTTGCTATTAAAAGTGTGCTAATTTATAAATAATTTCTAAAAAAAGTATTATATATACATGTTTTAGAAATTGGTTTTATATTATTTCAAGATTCAGCCGTAATATAAGATACGTAATTAAATTTACTTATGTATTATATACAGTACGGAACAGCTAAAGATATCCATTTTTTTAAAATAATATAACTTTTTTAAAACAAGTTAAAATAGAAATTCATTTTTCAAATTTATTGTTTTTATTTTATTAACAAATCTTAAAGAGGGATTTTTAAAAATTTAAAAAAAGAGTTTAATTTATAGTCTAGGATATTGTAATTAATTAAAATTTAAGATTAGGTGTAATATGTAAATTACTTTTTTGTATAACAAAAATAATAAATTTTTAAAAAATTGATTGCATTTTAAAGGTAAAGAGTATTATTATTTTTTTTATTTTATTTTTTTTTTATTTAAGGGCAGTCTTGCCTGTACGTCTTTTTATTAGTAGTAGTATAAGATTACATATTATATACAGAGTATATCAATGAAAGTACAACTAGTCACATGTATAACTTTAGTCATTATCTAATTAAGGGTTTCACCTATAGGTTACCCACTAGATGCCATATCTGAGACCTGCCTGTAAGTCCCCTATTTAAACTTTCTGATTTTCAACACTTAACTACATATATATACAATGTATACCACCATGTTTATGACAGAACAGGTTAGGGCTATCTAATTACTATTTATATCTAAGTCTCACCTTATTGGATGTTACTAAGTATCTATAGACCTTTCAAATTTACCCTCAACGCAAACTTACTAAGTATGGTACTAAAATTACTCCTTGGATTTATCCAGTTTTTTTTTAGTATATCCTGTATCTACTAGAACTGGTTTGGTGCCAAAAGTGTTCGAATTTCGGTAAGTCTATTCTTTTTCCATAGTTTCCATTTATATTCACCATATTACCCACTAGTGCACTTTCTCTCTATTTCTGGTATGTTTATCACTTCTCTCACATCGAGCACTAACTCTCCATATTAGGAATCTTTTTTCTAAAAACTTCCTTATATACTGATCTTTTAATCACATGGACTTAGCCACAGGGCTTCACATACATTCATATGCTTCCATAGATTACAGAGTTGCCTCTAGCTAGAATTGAACTATCGACCTTGTCTGTAGAGAGAGGATCGCCTAGACCACTAGGCTACAGGACCCTATCTTTTACAAAGCTTGATATTATTTTAAAAAAAAATATCAAGTGCTATAGTACCTCCAGGATAAGTATGAAACTGTGAATATGAGGTTTAAGATTATTGCAAATCATAATAACAATGTCTTTAATAGAAGTAGGAGAGTTTAATCAATAGTAGGTAAAAAAGTTATTATTACAAAAAAAAAGGTTAGTTTTGTTAGAGATTTTAGTTTCTGTAATGCTTGCAATAGATATGTTGTGATTGAGGCAATAATCTTGCTATGCTTCTCTTTTAGTAGGTTCATTAAAGCCTCTAACATTGTGTATAACAATAGTTAGGTTGAGATAATGTGAAGTTGGGTTGATTGGAGATGAGAAAAGGTTATCATTAGAGGTTGAAAAATAGCTGCTAAAAAATAAATCAGATGGAATAAAAGTAGGGTTAAAGGAGTTAAATCTAAGAGGAAGATTATAGAATATAGGAAGAAAATATAAGGCAATAACAATATGATCTGATAAAAGAATATTATTGAGAAAATAAATGTGGGTTTCATTATAAGATGAATTAACAGAAAATGTGATACTAGATACAGTTTTGTTGTTGTTATATTTATCAATATGTTGAATTAAGGTTTGAATAGTTTGACTATGAGAGAGAAGTGGTAAGTAGTAATAAAGAAAAAATTTGTTAAAATATATATAAAGATTATAGGAGATTAAAGATGTTGTAAAAGATCTTTTAAAATTGTCTTCTACAGGGTCAATCATCATATACTTAGCTCTCACACCTGTGCAAGATACCATAGTATGCTCAGTATGTTGGGTCTGACTGTTATTATTCTGGCCTTCTAAATAAATAGACTTACCTACCTGTCTACTTATATCATTCTCCTTATTAACTACAATAGTTGTATCTTTTAATAAGATAGTGGCTGCTTTAATGTTAGTTGTAGAAGACAAAGAATTTAAAAAGGAGATTGCAAAAAAAGTGAGTCAAGGATTGAAACTGGTTGGAAGTCAAGATTGAATTTTTTTGCTAAAAATTTTTCAGCTGCTAAGTAAGCAGTATCATTAAAATATTTAACAATTTGTAAGTAAGTAAATTTTTGATTTTTGACTACATCAAAATAGGTAATAATTTGGGAAAAAAATTTGGTATCAATAATGTTTTTTGTAAGAAGATTAATTGCCTCCTCCTTAGAAAGAGACTGTATGTTGTGATTTTTGACAGTAGTTTGATAATATAAGGAAAGGTAACAATAAAAGTAATAATTACAAAATTTTGTGTTAGTTTTAACTTTATTTTGTATACATACAAAGTCTTCAGCTTGGTCAGCTAATTTTCCAAGACTTTGGTAAAGATAGGTTGATTGAGTAAAGCAGCATGTTCTTTGTTTTTGTGAAATAATGTAGTATTAAGAGTTGGGTGAATCCATACTTCATCATCTTGAGAGAGAAATAATGAGTGAAATTTGCTTAAGATATTATTAAAGAGCTTGTTGCTGTCATGAAATTTTTTATTATCAAGATATTCATATAACTTGTTTTCACAGATAAGATAGTGAAAATTAACAACTCAAGATGCTTTTTATATTGTTCATGAAGCAAGTTAGGTTTTTGAAATGTATAAAATTTAGAAAGGTGTTTAGATAATTGGAGAATAAAATGTTGTCAAAATTGAATTCTAAGGGAGATGCAAACTTTCTCTTTATCAATATTGGAAGAGAATTGTCAACTATAAAATGAAAAGTAAGTTTCAAACTAGGAATTAAAATAATTAAGAGAGTTTTTAAGTGAAAGGATGCAAAATCTTTCAAGAAAGAGTGTTTTAGGAATATTAAAAAGAAATTTAATATTAAATCTAGTATCTGATTGAATAGTAAGATATTTTTATTAAAGATCAGTAGTTTGAATAAAAGATTCAATTTTGAATCTTTTAGGATTGAACTTTAATTCTTCAGTGAATTTTTGATAATCAATTGATTGGTAATTATTAGATAAGAAAAGATGAAGTTATGCAAGATTAAGACAAAGTTGGAGATGATTGTGAACAGTATATAGGAGAACAGTAACAGATAAGACAAAAATTTTAAGATAGTTAAGTTTGGTAAAAAGGATAATTGTAAATTTGAAAATAGAATTTTTAAAGATGGATTCAAGAAGGTCAAAAGGAATAGTAATGTTTTTGTTAATATTGGGTTACTATTATAGATAAGATCAGTTAAGAATTTAGGCCATTGCCCAGTCATTATACAGATGATATAATAAAATAAAACTTTAAATACTAGTTAAGTAGCAGTAGCTGGCTTGATTTTCTTACCAGAATAAAAGTCATAAAAGAATTTTTTGAGAAAAATAAAGAGTTAAAGAGAGAATGGAGTTTGTAGTTTTTTATTAGGTTGCATTTCTTCAGTGATAGAAAAATTTGCAACCCAGTCATATGTAGGATTAGATTTTAACTTGGTGATACTAGAATAGGATTGAAAAGAAGGTTTGTTTGAAGTATTGTTAGATTGGTTAGAATTATTGATATTGTTAGAATTTGAGTTAGAGTTATTAAGGGTAGCAAGAATTAGAGGTTAATTGAAAATAGAATTGGTATTAATAGCTATAGAAAAGAAAGAGTCAATAAGATTAGAGACAGTTTGAGAGGTTTGATAAAAAGAGTCAATGGGAGGGTTAGTAGTTTAGGAAGATTCAGTTAGGATATTTTGGAAAGTTTGTGTAAGATTTTTTTTGGTCTGAGATTAGCTAGCTTCATGTTGAGAAGAAGTAGTCATGCAAATAAAATAATAAACTTTATTATTTTTTATATTATATTTTTCATTAAGATAATGGTGCTTATTTCTTTTGGTACAACAAATGTGAAGAAAGCATTTAGAACAGGTATAATAGTGTATATCAGGTATGGAAGATGGAGGAACACTGTTAGTCGAAGAAGAAAGATTGATTATAAGTTGTTAAGTTGATCTGTTTAGATATTTTTTTGAGATGCTGTTAATATGAATTGTAGTAAGTTCAGTAACTTGAATATGGTTAGTATTGGTGAGTAAGATGAATTTAGTGTGATATTTGCCACAAAGGTAAGTGATTACAGAAATAGAAAAAAGAGTTTGAAAGAAATGAGTAATTTTGTTAAATTAAGGTTTTTAGTTAAATAACCAGTAGGTTTAACTTCAGGAGAAATTATACGAGTATTGTTATCACTTTTTTCTTCATAGAGGGCAATTCCAAAACTATTAGAAAAATTTTGAAAGAAATAATCAAGGTCTGCTGTATTTGGCTCTTGGTTGATTAATATAAACATTTTTAGAATATAGATAAATAAATAGGTATTGAATTAATAATTTAGAAAATTTTTCTGAATAAAAATTATAGTCAATAATTAATTTACAAGAGTAGTAATTAAAAATAAGGGTTGTATGGTTGAGATATCACTAGAATAGTATAGGGTGTAACTAGGATAGTTGGGATTACTAATGTGACTTAGGTACTATATATAAATAAGATTTGCAGTACAAAATGTTGTGTATTATTAATAAGAACCAAATATAAAATGATTAAGTTATGTTAAATGAATTTCTATTTATAGATGGGTTACAGAAAATTTTTGTATAACTTAATAAAGTATGGATTGAGAAATGATAGTATGGTACATGAAAAATGTATAAGGAAAAAGAGAATAGATAGAAACAAAAATAGAAGAAAGAAAAAGTTTTACAGAAAAGTAAAAGAGAAATTTTGCTATAATTTAGCAAATATTAAGTTAAAATCCTTCATTTAGGGCTTGTTTTAATCAGGAAATATGTATTACATCTTTAATTAAGAATATAAAATAGGTTATTATAATAGAAATTGTAAAAAAAATTAATTATTAAAACTGGGACCAAAGATCATCAGTACAGTTTTCTTAATGAGTTTAAAAACTAAAGATATGCTATTTTCAGAATATATATAAAATTCTGTGCTGAACATGTTTACTTAAGACACCAGAACAGATTGTCTTAGTAAAATAGATAGTTATAAGCGTTTTAATATGAATAGTTTTTGGTTAATTTTTTGTGCAATGAATTTGCAGAAAAAGTTTATTTCCTTTTTTTTAATATATATCTGATCAGGTTCTTTATATTAAATTTTAATTTTTTTACCCTCCTTCATCTCTAAAAAATCAGGTGATAAATAACACTACTCTAACTGTATTTTTAATAACATTTTTTTATATTTTCTCTTAAATTTTATTATATATTTTCTTATATTTTATTATTTTATTAGTTTATTTACATAGTTTATAGTATATTTTATCTATTTAGACATATATATGATATTTTATTACATATTTTATTAGTATATTTTTTTACAGAATTCTATTTAAAGCAATATTTACTTTAATATGTAAATTATTAGTTTATTCAATATAATGAAGTACAAACCAAGACTACACAAGTATATAAGTATATACAATACCCTAGAACCTTCTAAAATGATGTATTAATAATTATTTAGTCATATTACTAAGTTTATAAGCTATAGTATTATTATATAGTTTATAGTATCATTTTTCATTATTAATATATAGCATTATTATACTATATTAGTTTACAGTATTATTTTTTATTATTATTATATAGCATTGTATACTGTATTAGTTTATGGCATTATTTTCTGTTATTATTATATAGTGTTATTATACTGCATTATTTTATGATGTTATTTTTCATCATTATTATATAGTATTATTATATTGCATTATTTTATAGCATTATTTTTTATTATTATTATTGTAACTATTTTTAGCATTAGAATTATATTATAGTAATTTAAATAGTAGTACATAGTATAATTACAATAACCTACATTATTGTATAATAATTTACAGTATTATTTTATAGCATTATTACTTGTCATTATTTTATACATTATTTTCTGTTGTTATTTTTTACCATTATCGAAAGATATATAAACCTTTTCTTTTCCTAAGGCAGAGAAACATAAAACATATACTCCAAATATTTATTTCATCATTTCTGAGTATATTTGACTTTTCTTATTAATTATTTTCTTGTGAAAAAGTCTCTTTATTTTGTATTTTTTTAGTAATAAACTATAATTCTATAACATGTTAATAGTAGGTTTATTGAATTTTTATTGAATTTTATAGTGAAATTATTATTTTTATATTGATATTTTTGGTTTATATTTGAGTAAATTTATTTGTTTTTGATTTTTGATTAGTTATTTTATAGTATTTTTGTTTAGTTTTAGGCTTTTATTTTATTTTTCTTATTTATAACATTTCTTAACTACTCTTATATATTAAGTTAAATAATATATTTGTTTAACTTAACTGGCAATAATACATTTTATTATTATAATATTTATTATTTAGTTAAGCCAAATAAGTATATTATAATAGTCTATAGCATTTCATTTTCTATAATTAAAAATCTATTTTTTATTGATTTCTTTAAAATTTATGCTCAGATTATCAATTATTATCACAGAAAGTTTTAGCTGAATAATTATTAAAGAATATGCTAAAGTCATAGTTAAGCATGAAACTATCTTTTATAAATTAATAAATCCAACTATAGGTAATTATATTTAATAATTTTAAATTTAAATTTATTAATTATTAATTATATTTTTTATATATATAGCACTAGATGGGTGGACTTTGCCTAATAGAAATTCTATATATAGCATTGTTATTTTAATACCAATATATAATAAATTTGTATATTTATTATATGATTTTTCTGCAAATTCATATATAACTGAATTTCTTACAAAAAAAATTCATACAATTTTAAATGAAGTTAGATGTGATAGAATTATAGCAATTGTTACAGACAATACAAGTAATATAAAGCTTACATAACAAATTATTTATAAAAATTTTAAACTTTAACTGTATAACTTATTGTATTAATTTCATGTCTAAAGACATTCTAAGTATGTATTAAAAAAATATTTAAATATAATAATTAAATTACTAATATATAATTTTTTTAGAATATAGTTTTGTCTCACATCTTATAAAAGAGTATAATAAAATTATAAAATATTTTAAAAAATTACATCAGCCAAATACATATCTGTAGCAAGCAATTAATAAATTAAATATTTCTAGTAGTAGATTAAGAAAATTTATAGATACAAGATAAACATTAGCATATGAATGCACTTTATCTGTCTGTCAACTTGAGTATATACTTATTAAAATAATATATTATTATTTTATAAATTAATATTTTTGTAATATTTTATATTAATAAATAAATAATTAAAATTTATTTTATATAATATAAAGGTTGTAAATAAGAATTCAAATTTAATTACAAATTATATTGTTAAACAAATTTTGAAATTATCTTGTTTTTTTCTGTTTTTAAAAGACTGATTAAAATTTTATTTCTAATTTGAACTGCCATTATAAACTTGGAGGCCCAATCAATAACACTTACAAATTACTTTGTACAATTCATTGGTTTAGCAGCTATTGTTAAAAAAATTTCAAGTTTATAAATTAATAAATTTAAAAATTATTATAAACATGTTTTTAATAAAAGATAAAATGATTTTAATATAGACATTTAATTGCTTACATATTTTTTTTATTCAGGCTATTGTGGTATGTATATTTTGAAGTTTTTAATAAATTAAATATATAATAATGTAATTTTTTATTTTATTAGATGCTGGTTTACATGAAAATCAGTTTTATAAAATAGCAAAAATTGTAATTCAAATATGAAAAAATAAAGGATATAGTAAATATGAATATGCAAATCTTATTGCATATATGTAATTGTTTTAAGAAAAAGAAGATAGATTTGATTTGTTTTATAGTTCTAAAACTGATATTTCTCTTTTATAATGAATAATGAATTATACTAGATCCAAATCTATTGAAAAACTCACAATTAAGATTTTTTCAATTACATACATTCTGGTGACTATAAAAGAACATTTTTATCATTAAACTAAATATATAAAAAAAGATAATGTTAACTTTCTTTATCTTGATTTCAGGCTATAATACTAGTTCAATTTTTTTATATTTTGAATATAAAAAGAGAGTTTGTTTGTTTTGACAAAAAAATATTATTGAATAACTTACAACTATAAATAACATTTGCAACTTTTTTTAAAGATGATAAAGAATTATAGAAAACCCTAAAGTAGAAGAAGCTGAATATACTTTAGAAAACATTGAACATTTTGATATTAAAACATAGTATATTTAAATAATAAAATATTTTGAGATAATGAATCTGATAATAATAATTAAGGATTTTAAGGTTATGATGCTGATAAGTTTGATGAGCTTGATTATAATAAGTTAATCAGTAACAATAAGTTGGTCACTAACAAAATAGGACAAGGTATATTTGATTTTGATCTTGCAGAATTGGTAGCAAATTTAGTAAAAGAATAGGATTATGAAAATAATGATTCAAAAATTATAAATAATTTAAATAAAAATAATGCAGATGATAATATTAGTAAAAATTCAAATAATATAGTAAATAAAAATGAATCTTTAGAGTTTTTATCTATAACACTTAGAAAAACATGTTATAAAGGTTTAAAAAGATAAATAGCATTTAGATATGTTGTAAAAATCACTTAGAAAAACATATAAAATTTAAAAAGATAACAAATAAAACTTTATATTATATTTTTATAAAGCAAATTTTTATATTTTATGTTTTGTCAATAGTTTTGTCAATCGTTAATAGTTTTATCAATTGTTGTTAGTTTCATCAATCATCAACAGTTTCATCAGGATTATTATTTGACAATCTTATTTGTCAATTCAAAAATGGTTTCATCAAGCATCTTTAGTCTTAATTGACTTTTCTTTATTGGATGAGCAGTGATTTCTATGCTGAGGCCTGGCATATAATTCTTCTTCAATCACATGGTCTTGATCCAGTCCTGGCATATATGTTTTAGATAGATTGTTATGGCCACTACAATGATCCTTTCTTGGGTTTGGCAGATGTTACAATTTCATCTCTGACAAAATAAATATATGATAAAAATTTACCTTCTTTGCTATTAGTATCTTTTGCTTACATACCAAAAATTTTTCTTTATGATTAAGTTATTCTTTTTAAAACTAAATATAACATGCATGGTAATAAGAATATTTGGAATCATTATCTTACAAAAATTGAACCAGATAAAACTTTAACTAAGAACATGCTAGTGCAAGTTTTGTAGCTGAGATAACAGTGCAGTATATTTAAAATTTTAAAAAACCAATTTACTTCTAGTTACTATAACTCAATCCTGAATACTCACATGCATATTGTTAGAGGGAAATCTGGTTAAAGCTGTTGCGTAACTATTGTTGAAAACGTGACTGAAAACATGATCAGAATTGCAAGCTGGATCGTGACCCAAAATCAGCGATTATGTAACCTGATTTCTCCCCATTGTATGCAAGAGAAGCCCCAAGATTTGGAACAAGCACCCATGATTATAAGCCTGGGCCCCATATGCAACAATTATTGCTAAACCTAAAAAGAAAGAAAGACTTAGTAAAACCACCATGATGTGCAACAAGAAAAAGGTGTGATGCTTACTTTCACAGGCTTACAACAGAGCCTTCAACCCACAAAGACATTTAGGGAAATGCGGCTGTAGCTCTATCAGCGAAATCTACGAAATAGAGAAGGTAATTAAAAGATGGAATCATGAATCAAAAGGTGGGATTGTACAATTAACAGAAAAAAGAACATTAAGGGAGAACACTCCCAAGATACTTCCTTGATAATTCGTTATAAATAGCCCTCCATTTCAACATTAAGTGGAGGAAGGACCCCCCATAACCTCCCTCTACAATCCCCTTGACCTTCCCCATGCTTGTAATTAAAAGAAAATTAATAAAAGAATAAAACGTTTTATAAAAAATATAAAGTGTCAAGAGACACATACATTCTTTTAATAAAAAGTACCAAGCAAACTATAATGTTCTTTTAAAAGGTCTCTATACTTACCTGGTAACTAACTCAAGAGCTGCCTTAGCAATTGCCAAATCGTATCTACCTCATCTTGCTTTCGGGTAACATTATACAACATCGCCGATTCTGGAGTGACAATTCATCACATTCGCTCCATCCTTGGATCCGCCCTATTAGCCCATGACAATATGCATAAACTTAACTAATGCTGATCATACTGGTCTTGTGTGGCATTACATGCTGTGCAGCTATCTTATTAAATAATATTATATTTACTAGAAATAGTGTACTATACTAAGAATAGAGTTTGTACAATGTACAATATAGTGTATAGTTTATAGATGATTCAGATGTAGATGTACAAAATCTTGGATCTGATTGGATGATCAATTTTTATGACTTTATTTCATGATTTCTGTACTAGAAACTTATTTAAGAGTAAAATGGTGTGTGCGATTCTTAACATATGATTAGTTTATCCTTTATCGTAACCTTATGTAGCATCTAAACAATACTTTAAAAGATAGGTACTATGTTTCTGTATGCAAAGTATTGGAATTAATTAGTTTGCATAACTTATTTATGGTTCAGTAAAAAATAAAAAAACTTATAGATGAGCATATACATCTTTAAAATTAAAGATACAATATCTAACAATAATAAAAAAAATTTTTTTGGCACAAAAATTAATGATTTAATGTAAATTTAAAGGCCTCAATGCTAAATATTTTGTAATTTTCATTTTTTTTCACAAATTTTTTATTGGGCAGATAAAATAATAATCAATAATCATCAAAGACTTAATCGAAAGAATTTGTCGATCATATAGATATGTTTTATAGATTTTAATGTTTTTTGCAGGGCTTCAGAATTTTGAGTTAAATTTATTAAAACAAAATTATGCTAGCTAACCAACTATATAGCAGTTAGACATTGACCTCATTAATAGATTTTTAGGTTTAATCACTAAATTCAAAACCAATATTCAGATTGCAAGTACTATCGACTTCTTTTATAAAGAGTCATTTTCTTTTATTAGAAATAAATTGCAATAAAAAATATAGTTTCCTGTAACTGAAATGGTGTCTGCATAGATTTCTTCTGTTCCTGGTTTTGTGTAACAACATTTCACAGCTACTTATGTACATAAGTATGATTTACAAAAGAGTGAAATGATGTATATGATTTTTGTTATATAATTGGGTGATCCATCATTATGACTTTTTGTAACACTCCAAACTTTACTTTAAAAGATATGTATCACTCTGTATGCTAAATCTTGTAATGAGTTGGTATGTGTAACTTATTCATTATTCAATATTTAATGAGATAATATTCAAATGAATTTATCAACTGTCATATACTGTACAATGAATTTAGTTTCCTATTGTGAAAACTTACTATTTTTTATTACAGCTTTTGTAAAATTTCTAGATTATAACTTGCTTTTTTCCTGTTTTATCATACCTCTATCTGAATTAATTGTTTAGAGTTATTTGTATCACTGTATACTAGATTATTTTTTCATTTGTTAGACTGTTAATATAGTTTTCGCATGATGATTTACTATATTAATACTTAAAATTTTAGTTCTATTGTGTCAAATTTCTTTATCACTTTGTCATTTTAATTGGAAATACCTGCTATTTTTTAATGTGACTTTGGTTTTTTATATGTATGATTCTTAACTCAATTTTTTTCAGTTTAATTTACACTTTTAGCTTTATTGCCCTATTTTTTAGAATACCAGAAATGGAGTTTGTACAACATACAATGTAGAGTATAGTTTACAGTAACATAGATGAAAGGGCTTATATTTGGCAAGTGTATAGTTATGATTGTAGGTATGGTTTTTATTATATAATTAAGCAGGAAATTATTAGGAACGAATTTATGATAAGTACTAACTGATCTGTTTTTAGAGGACTCGAAGTAGAGATGGGACACTGCAGTGCAATTTTTATAATTCTGACCAGCTTTATAATCTAGGTTTGAATTATCAATCAGAAATCAGTTCGGATCAGCCTGATCTGCATCACCTAATTAATAGAATCCATCATTGATAATTCTGGTCAAACTTGCAGATCATTTGATCACATTTAAAGTTGTTTTGTTTTAGATCTGACCAAATGATTTGCAAATTTGACCAGAATTATCAATTCACCGATATGCAGAGAAAAAGTGAAAAAAACGAAAAACAACAAAAACTGACGTTTAAACTAACCTTGGAGCATTAATTAAAAATGTTAGGAGCCCAACTTTACATATATTAAGTAGATGTTTTATATATATAAATGTGAAACCTAATGAGTAAAAGTCTCTAGGAACTGAGGTTGTGTAGGCTGTGCAGGCTGTGCAGGCTACACAGCCTGCGCAGTAGTTTCAAAAAAACCTCGATTTTCCCATCTCTAGCTCAAAGCCTTTATTATATACTTACATTTACATAGAACACGTTATACACTTTATTCATGATATACCGCTTATACTACTTATAACGTTTATGCTAATTATACTGATGATAATGTTTATACTGATTATTTTAATTATACCCTTGATCCTACCGATATACATTATTCATCCGATGCATAGGATACATGATATACAGCAAATACAGCATATACGCCGTTAGGTAGGTTATCGACATAGCCGTTTATTCGTTACTGCACCACACTGATCATCTGCTTTAATGAGCTTCTGGCACCACTATCCTACCGCTAAACTCATAAAGGAGGATCCCCAAAATTCTGGGTCGGAATACTTCAGAACCATGATCAGCAGGCTGGAATTAACTAATTTTGCCCAAGATCACTAAAAGTTTTGCTAATGAAACCATAGTCACTCGTTAAGTAAAGCTGCCCAGCTGATAATTTTGGCTCAGAAATGGTTACCTTGTATTACTAAATACTAACTAAATGCCAGGCTAAATCCGATGGTTTCAACCCAGAATCTTGGAGATCCCCTGTATGAGTTCCTACAGGCATCTAAAATGATGTGTCTCTTTTTTATCCGATTTGTTGTTCTAATCTTGTGACTTCATCTTGTGATTTCTAGATTTTACCTATAAAGCTTTTTGTCTATTGACACATGAAAAAAAAAAAAATGCGAATTAGATGTTTGTAATCAGATAATTATCCTTTCTAGATTATTAAATATAGATTATTAAATAATGATAATTTTAATTTCTGACCGTATCGTTATATCGTATAGAAGTAAAGTGGTTAGTACTGAGATGTCTGCATAGTTTCATATATTTTTAAGAAAGTTAAATATGACGTTTAATAACTTATATAAATGTTATTTCAAAAAAAAAAGAAGCTCAGTCTTAATCCTATTGGATAAATTATAATAATTCTTAAATTAATTAGAATTGTAC